GAGGTTTGCAGGGACCCCCCCACATGCCAAGTTTGCAGGGGACCCTCATGACGCCTCAGCAAGTCCCACCATTCCATGGAGGTTTCCAGCAGCTCCAAAGTGATGGGATCTACAGTGAAAATGCCAGGACAGCAGGAGCCAAGTGGGGGCTCTGCTTTGGCAGGTGCAGCAAGCATTGGGGTGCCCCAAGCCAAAGGTTTCAGGGTGCCAGCCGGGGGGCTGGAGCAGCACAAGGGGGGCAGCGGGGCTCAGCTTTGGCACAGAGGTGATGGGGACACTGTGGCCTGGGCAGGGCTTGGTCTCCACCCGACACCCATGTCTGCACCCGGGCAGCCCTGCAGGAGAGCAGCATTGCCCAAAATGGGACTGTCCAGCCCCTGTGGCTTCCTGAACCCCAGCACAAAATTCCCCCTGGCCACTGCCAGTCCCGTCGCATGCCAAGAGCGGCTCCGAGCGGCACATTGTGCGGCGCTGCTAATTCCTCCAAGCTGAATCAGCGCTGGGAAGGATTGCAAAACCCCCTGAAATGGACCCAAAAACAATCCCTCTCGCTGAGCAGTTCAGCGGGGCTGGTAACCGAGGGCCCTGGCCAGAGCCACCGGCAGGATGGGGGGGCCTGGTGGGAAGCCACGATGGGAGGAGCCTCCAGCTTCACTGGGGCAAATCCTGCCTGCACCCCAGCATGGAGGGCTCCAGTCTCCCAAAAAAACACCCCTGGCCCCATGGAAACCAAATCCAGGTCCCCTTGGTCCCCCAGGTCCCTGTGGCCAGAGCAGAGCCTTGAGGAGCCATGTTGCCTTGGTGCCATGGGTCCCCATGCCCACTCCCCAGAGTGAGGAGAGGTGTATGCTCATCCCACAGCCCCCAGTGATGCCAGGAAGAGGTTGGGAGGGGCAAAAATCCTGCTGCCTTCCTGGAAAGCTGGGGAGGCCAGGGAGCACCCACTGGCCACAGAGGCTGTGTCCCATCTGGGAGTGATTTCGGCGCTGCCATCCCATCGCAGCTCCATCCNCAGGAAGAGTTTGGGGGGGGCAAAAATCCTGCTGCCTTCCTGGAAAGCTGGGGAGACCAGGGAGCACCCACTGGCCACAGAGGCTGTGTCCCATCTGGGAGTGATTTCGGTGCTGCCATCCCATCGCAGCTCCATCCACAGCACTGGGCTATTTTTACCCAGTGGAATTATAGGACAGGCGACAAAGGGCGGGGTGGCTGCCCCTGCCTTAACCTCTTTGTGTATCTGCCCAGCAGCCCCGTGGGGATGAGTCCCACTGGGGTGGCACCTGGAGGGTTGGGGTGGCCTCTCCCCCTCCTCGTGTGTGAGGTTTGCAGCCAGGTGGGGGCAGGAAAAGCCCCTTTCCCATGGATGGCAAGCAGCCACCAGCCCAGGCACCTATGGGATCTGCCCAGGGACTAGGTCAGGGTTGGGGACAGGGATGGACCTATCTGGCTCAGGGGTGGGAGAGACCCCCAAAGCACCCACCACAAACCAAAAGGGCTGCTAAGCCCCAGGAAACAGCAGTGCAAGGGGTACTGGGGCCAGGTGGGATGAGAGCGGGACTGGCCATGGAGGTCCCATTACAGCGGGTGCCTGGGAAGAGGTGGCAAGGTGACAGTGGGGACATGTGCCTCAGTTAGGCCATGTGCTCTGGTGCACAAAAGAGCTAGAGCTGAGAGATGCTGGGGCTACAAGCCTGACCCCAGGACCTGGCTCAGCCACAGGCTTTGGCTGGGACAGGGGCAGTGGGTGGGCACTGGGGGCTGAGCACCCCTGGGCAGCATCCCCAGGGAGCTGCCTGGGCCCCTCCATGTCCTTCTTCAGCTCTGGGTGGGACAAAAAAACCCCCAAATCTCTCTGCAAACATCCTGCTGTGCTGGCACTCTGCTGTGGGCAGGTCTCAATTCCGGCACTTCTCAGTTCTGTTGGACTTGGCACTGTGAAGAGCAGTGAGGGTCTGGCTGTCCCCATCCCTCCCCATCACCGTCCTGCCCCGCGGGGATATGCCCAGTGTCAGCACACACCGCTGGGACATGGCTCCCTGGGACCTCTGCTGACCCAGGCATCTCATCCCTGTTGATCCAGCCACAGCCCCAAGCCGGCTGCAGCACCCCCAGCCTCCCTGGGGACATTTTCAGGACACCAAAAGATGCAGTGACACAAGGGAGCCACTGTTCTCCTGCCACCACCGTGGTGACAGCACCGTCCCGGGGCAGTGCTGCACTGGCCGCTGGGTGTGCGGCACTGGGGTCTGGTCGGTGACCCCGAGTCGGAGCCGGTAACCCAACCCTGCCGGTGCTGGTTACAATTTAGGGCAACAATAACCTATTGAGGCCCCTTCCTGGCTCCTGCCCTGCTGCTCCTTGATCTAATTAAAGGGGGCCGGGAGAGAGACAAAACCTGAGCCGAAGGAATGGCAGGTACCCGGAGGCGGCACAGTGAGGACCACGGCGCGGGGAGGGGCCAGGGCCACCCACACCTTCTGTCTCCCGCCTTCTCAGGGGTCTGGGCATTGGCCCTGGCACTGTCGGGGTGCTTTGAAAATGAGGTTTGTGTGGTTGGAAACAACTCACCTGCTCAGGATGTGGGATGGGAACCCCCAAGGCACATGCTGATGTGGGGGTGCATGGGGCCAGCGCCCCCCACTCTCAGCCCTCTTCCCCCATGGATGCTGGGCAGCGTGCAGCCACCCTGTAGGCTGTGGGCATTGGGGTGTGTGCTCTAGAGTCACCCCCACCTTGGGGCACGCCATGGCCCTGCCTTGGGGTGCCACAGGGACATGTGGTGCCGGCGCGGTGGGACTCGGTGGGATGCGGGCTCCCCTTCCTGCCGGCCTGGCGTCAGTAATGAATGGTATGAGTTTCCTGCCCGCCCACTGATTGCTTCCTCAAAGAGCCTCAACGAGCTGCTGCCGCTGCACCCAGCTCGCCGTGCCTCGCTCACGGCATGGCCGGCACTGAGGGACCGGCCTCCATGGCCCACGCCGGGCACCCAGCACCACGGGTGAGGTGGGTCTCTGCCACCTCCGGGGGGCTCAGTTCCTCTAGCACTGAGCCTGACTCGAGCAGTGCTTCCAGGGGTACCTGGTGACCCCCCAAAACTGCCACCCCCTGCCCCAGCCACAGCTCCAGGGCTCCCGAGTGTCGAGCCCCTGCTCAGGACGGCTCAGCCCGAGGGAGAGCGCAGCCCCCGCTCGGCACCTCCGCCGGGAGCCAGCCCAAATCCCCCTCCACCATTTGTCATCTCCGCCAGATTTACAGGCGGGAGCGGTTGGGGCTGGAAGCGCGGCGGCCCCGGCGCGGCTGCTTAAAGAAAGCACCTCCCCAGCACGGGAGGGTCCCCCCTCGACCCCGCCACCCCCAGCCCCTCTCGTGTGGCCCCACACGCAGCCGCAGGCCGGCAGGGCCCCGGCGTGACGCGCAGGCAGCGCCCGCCAGCCGCATTCCTGGGCCGATAAACCCGGAGCCAAAATAGCTGCAGCCCGCGCTGAGCCCCGCGCCGGCAGCGCATCGAGCCGGGCTGGCTCACCCCGGCCCAGCGAGAAGGATTCGGGCTGATTCCCGCTGGATTCTCCGCCAAGAGCAATGGTGGACCCCAAAGCCGGTGTGTGCCCCGGCCTCCCTTGGCAGTGTTCACTCTGGAACTAATGATGGAGGTCACCGAGGCTGCACCGCACGGCTGCCTCTGCCGATTGCGCTGGCGGAGCTGGGGAGCCCGAGGGCTGGGAGCTGCTCCCCGGGGAGCTCGCAGAAGGGGCGAGCTCGGCTTGCTCCCACCATGCTGGCATCTCCCCACTGTGCCCACAGCTGATCCTCTCCCCTCCTGTCTGTCCCAGGTGCTGCCAGCACCAGCCCAGAGCTGACACCTCGGTGCAGTGGATGCTGGTGGGGCAGCCAAGCACCAACCCTGCTGCAAAAGCTCACTCAGCCCCTTGCCTGAGACCCCATATTGGCACCCAGTAGCTGCTGACCATCCAGCTTGCCCTGGCAACTCAGCCCACCAAGGAGCCAGCTCAGTGTCCAGTGAGGGTCCTGGCATCCCAGTGCTTTGCCAGCAGCTCTGGGAAAAGCCAGTGGCCTCCAGTACATACCAACAAGTAGCATGGCCCAAGCCCCCATCCCCGTGGGATGAAGGCACAGCCTCTTCCTCCTCCTCCTGTTTCCTCACCCACACTGTGACAGCAGGCCAGCTCCATGGGCAGTGTGGGAGAGGTTAAGCTGAGTCTGACTGGAGCGTTCCTGGCCTTGACAGTGCCCCACAGACAGGAGACAGCTCCATCATGCCGTGTCAAGAGGTGCTGACCCCTTAAGCTGCCAGAGCTCCTCTTCCACTTCCCCAGGGGATGCCTGGTGAGCACCAGCCTGGCCACGGCTGGCTGGGCAGTCACCACGGCACCACAGCACAAAGCACCACGGCGCCGCTGTGAGCGGGAGGTTGGGGCCGTGCCGCCCCGGTGCTCCAGCAGTGCCAAAGGGATTCACTCGCCCACAGAATCTTGTGGTAACGCCCCAGCACACACGCCCACCCAGCCAGCAGCCACCTCAGACACTGTCCCCGGCAGTGCCATCACCCACCACAGCGTCACAGAGCACCTCTGTGCCCTCCCCAGCACTGCCACCCAAATGGCGATGGGGATGTGCCTGCGCTGTCCCCAGCCTTGTCTGCAGATTCGGACCAAATGCTGCTGGTGCCAGGAGCTCTCTGCCACCTCCTGCTTCACCACCACACTCCCTGTGGGTCCCTGACCATGACGTCCCCACCGCCCGCCCTCCTGCCCCGCAGTGCGTCCCCGTCCCTACCCAGGCGAGGTGTCCAGTGCCATGGTGAGCATCGCTCCGCTGAATCGCCGCGTGTCCCACAGCTTCACCTCCCGCTCCCGCATCTGCAGGGGTACAGACATGGTGTCAGTGGGCACTGGGGCTGCCCGGCCCTCCCCACGGTGCCACCGCCTTCACCACCCATCCTCCTGCCATCCCAGCAAGGGCCAGGGCGCCTGGTGAGGGGCCCTCTGGCTTCCATGCTTTTAAGCCACCTAAAAAGCACTCAGGGCCCTGGCACAGCAGCTGCAGGGAGTGGGGCTGGGACATCCTGGTAGTGCCAGGGCCACCTTCCCAGAGAGGACTGTACCTGGCTGAACCCGATGGAGATGAGGCAATCACTGGAGCCCATCCAGAGCAGCCGGGAGTCCTTGTTGTTCTCGTGTCCCGGGACACTCTGCAAGGCACAGGAGACACGGCTGTCAGTGTTGCTGCCAGCCCTGCTGGGCACATTGAAGGGACATGTGCTGCACCAGCCACGGTTGTGAATCGCGCCAAGGCCGAGCACACGGAGCCGAGCGCTGTCTCCCACCTCTGCTGAGAGCGGCTGTGGGGACAGTGCAGTGGGGACAGCCCGCAAGCGATGACAGCCCTGAGCCCCCACCCTGTGCCAGTGCCAGCACAGTTGCCTGTGGAATGGCTGGCCCGGCTCCCGGTGAGCAGCAGGGTGAGGCAGCAGGTAACGTGAGCATGAAGGGGCACGGGATGGCTCCTGGGTCCCCAGGGCTCTCCCCACACCCGGTGAGGGGATGACAGGGTCAGAGTGCTGCGAGGAAGCCGCTCCATGCCACAGGCACTAGAGGAGGCTTGGCTGTGGCCATGATGACAGAGGGACTTACTTCCTCGGCTGCATCTCCGAGCTCTTTATCCATGCCGAATCCCACCTGCAGGGGCTGGGTGCCCCGTGTGTGTCCAGATGCTACCAAAACATGTGGCAAACTGAGCCTGGCCACATTCCCCACACTGTTCTAATCCTCTGCACCCTGCTCCACCTCTCACCTTGGCTGCCTGCAGGACTGGGAGCCCCCCCCCCACGCCACCGCCTCGTCCTGCCTCCCATCCCAGTCCTACCGAGGACAGGAGGGGTAGAGTTTCCCCGGGCTGTCAG